ATTATGATGATTATTCTATTTTGTTAGTCTCTTCTGTTTGGACTTTGGGATGCTGACCATATCTGCTTGGGCTGACCTTATCAGGTGGAAGGATTTCATTGCAATAGTACTATTAGCTTTGTTGTTGTTTTGCCTCATCTTTCTGCTTCTGCTGCTTGTATTCCACAGGTAATATCAGCCTTCATAATTGTTGGACAAGTTGTAGTGTTTATTTTAACATGGTGCCTGTTGTCCTAGAATTGCAATTTAAGGAAGAAGTCAAAATTACACCACAAATACATAGTATTTTATATAGATGTCTCGTGAACTTTTCAAACTTCTCTACGAGTTTCTCAGTGAAATATGTGCACTAAGCCTGTCTATAAGAATCATTTTGTTGTTTGTAGTGCTCCAGAGCCATTTTAAGTGCACTTGATATGTGGATGTTAGTGAGAACATGTCTTGCTGATATCTTTCTTGGTAATTTTCATCATTTAGATGAACAAGAGACAATATTATTTCTTTAATATCTTTGTAAGGGATTTCAGAGCATGGGCTGTGATATATTACCTAGAATATTCAGTTAATTGAGGTTGTTTATTGGTGTAGACTCATATTAACTTCTGTGAAAACAATTATATATGTTGCAAGGCTTTCTCTCCATCTCTCTCTTCCTAACATCTTTTATTCTGAAAATAACCCAAACCTAAAACAATGAAAATATTCTCTTTATAATTTTAAGTAAACTAGAAGAGAACCTAAGTTGAAGACCCTAACACAACTGAACAGGTTTAAGCTTATCTGAATGTGGAGCAAGTAATGTTGGATTATTGTCTTGTTTGACCTACCACATTATTAGGCAGTCAAGACTATTGATGTTAGCAGCTATGTTCCAGCTGTACTCTGCTTAATGACTAGGTCGAGTGATGCTCTTAACATTGTGGCTTGACTAGGCAGTCAAGCTTAATAACTATTGGCTTGACTAGGCAGTCAAGCCATCTATTGTGGCTTCCATTGCTCTGTAAATTCTTTTCTAACTGTTTGTCAAGCTTCTTTTGCTCTAGAAAATTCTATGATATTTTCAACTACATGTATAGGTGATCATAGTGGTCCATTGACTATAGTAGGATATACTTTCATGATGAGTATAAAAAAGCTTTTTTTTCCCTGAACTTATGTTACCCATGGAGAGTTTGATCAATATCCCATTGTCGTGTACCAATCGTGGAACTTTTGATATGTCCAAATTTGCTTCTTACAGAAAATTGTACCAAATGCCATTATATCTGCCATTTTTGCCCCTTGTTGATGGTTGAGCAGCTTGTTATACCAACATGTAATATTAGACAATAAACAAGCATTCTTCGGGAAGTAAATTGGCGAGTACATCTGCACATTTTGCTACTAATACCTGCTATTATGAGCCGCTTAGAATTGCAGGATATGCATACTTGATTAATTCACACCTATTATTTGCACATTTTACATTGTGAGAGATGATGCATAAACCCAAATAGTTAACTAGTTTATGTTTTCTGCTGATTTTTGGTCCAGTTACTTAGCATTAACAAATCAGACTACTTATGAAATGGTGAGAAGGCGTCGCATATTGTACCTAAGGTATCAGTACTATGGTTTTCTATGCCCATTGTGAGCTTTTCTGGTATCTCATTGATAATTCTGCCTGCAAGCATACTATGAATGTTTTTGATTCGTAGGGGAATTCCAGAAAAGGTTCATCCATTTAGCAGGGGCATCTCCAAAAACTTGTACACCTTTTGTTGCCCCAGGGGCAGCAGATACACTCTGGAAGCTATCCCAATAATGGAGGAACTAGAAGAAAGAGCAAGACCTTACACCTGTATCGACATTATTTCTTGTAGGTGTTGTTGATCAATTCCGTTCATCGACCAGATGATGTATTCTTTCCAATGTATCTTGTCATCCTGTTTTCTTTCTTTTTCTTTTCTTTTTTTGTGTGGCTGATACGATTAGGTTGCATTTTGTGTGTCATATTTCTTCCACAATATCGATCCCTCTTTTTAGTGAGCAAAGCTGTCTTATCTCAGCCCTTTCCATAATATTTATTGAACTCTCTGTCGATTAGCTGAGGTATTGCTTCTCTAATGTCATTGGTAAAGTCATTGATAGGGGAAATATTTAAACCAATAAGGGCTCCACATGTTATTCTCTGGATTAAATCTATTATAAAAAGTCTATTAGGTCACAATAATCGAGGTCATTCATTGTTTACTAAAATTACTTCGTACCTCATCCAACTTCGGTCTTCATACAGGTCGATCATGGGATGAGCGTTTGAGTTCACAACAATGCTCGAGTAAGTTTTTGAGGCTACACTCGAGTGAGTGTTGTAGTCTTCGCTTTGGCCATGTCATAAGCATTCCGTTAACTTGCTTAATGAGTGTTCTAGTGAGGGTGTTTTACCCCTGACCTATAGCATGGTCGCCATGGCTTGGGACACTCTTTATGATGACAATACGATCGATACTGCTTGAAGCACTCTCTATAATGAGAGTATGAGTTGTGTGGTCGACATGACCTAAAGTATTTTCTATGAGGACAGTACGATTGACACGGCTCGAAGTGCTCTCCATGATGACAATGCAACAGACATGATTGAAGATGCACTCTTGTTGTCAATACGCTTGACATGTCTCGAAGTGCTCTCTTTGATAACATCATGATTAACATTACTCGAAACACTCTCTATGATGTCAGTGCAATCGTCGTGACCCGAGACATTACAATGACAGTGCAGCTAGCATGTCCCAAAGTGTTCTCTATGAGACAATACAATCATCATGGCATGAAACGCTCTCCATGATGATAGCACTATTGACACAGCTTGAGATGCTCTATTATGTTGAGAGAAATCCTCCCTCCTAATCTGTATAAATAGGAGAGAGACATGTTAATGCATTCAAGCTTCTTCAATAATTCTTCATATCTTCTATTCTTTCCAACATGGTATCAGAGCTGCTTGCCTAGAGTAAGCTCTCTTCTCGCTGCTGATTCATCACTGTTGCTTCTCCACCTCCGATGGCAAAAGAAAAGGCTATCTACCACCGCTTTTCCATCGTCAGGCCGTCAGTGTGGTAAATCTACCACTGCTTTTCCACTGTCACTCTGTGCCAACGTCCGTTCCCTTCCACTGCAGCGTCTCTAGTGCTACGCTCACCAGCACTGCCCCACCTTTCTTCCTCGCTGTTTGTCAGCGCCTCCCCTCCTCACTGGTGTAGAACTCTTTGTCAACAGATCTCGATTAAGATCTATTGCTACTTCTCTTCCTCTGGCGGTTGCGATTCTTTGGTCGCAGGCCGCTCTCTACTGCCCAAATTCCCAACTACATAACTACTGCACAGAGATATGCAGCTTTACACAATTCACAGGTCTTTTCCTTCAACGAAGACCTCATTTTGCCAACAACCCACCTCATGTGACACTGATATGCACAACCACCTCTTCCTCCCTGATCATTGTCATCGCTGCAGATTTCTAGTTGCTCACACATTTTGGTACATATCTTCCATATATCCTCATCATCTACCTCTGATGCTCTAATTACTGTTCCCGTAGGGAACCACAATACTTTCCCATATACAGGCCTTATCTCCCTATATGCAACAACCCTTATCCCCTTCAAATTATCCAACGGTGGCAACTACGTATCCTGGCATGCTTAATTATCTAATCTACTATTTGGCTATGATCTTCTAGGCTATGTCGATGGCTCTCTTCATTGTCCATCGGCGATGCTCAACATCCCAAGCACTCCTAGTCTAGTACCAAATCCGAACCACAAACTATGGTTATGCTAGGATCGTCTCATCCTTCATGCAATTCAAGCATCGATCGCTGGTTCCCTCGCCCCACTCATTTCTTCATATGACACTACTGCCGAAGCTTGGTGCAAGTTACAAACTGCCTTGGCCAATCATTCTCGCACTCGCATGCTTAGTCTCCTATCCAGTCTCATGAAGATAAAACAAGAGGGAAGTACTGTTGCTGATTATCTATATAACATAAAGATTATCATCGATAACTTAGCCTTGATAGGTCATTCCCTCAATGATGAAGAAGTTACTATTCATATCCTCAATGGCCTAGGAGATGAGTACAAGGAATTAACAGCAGCAATACAAGCACGTGATCCACCAGTGTCATTCGAAGAACTCTACGACAAGCTGATTGACTTTGAGATATATCTAAAGCACAAGGACAAATTGCTAGGACCATCCATCACTGCTCAAGTCAATCAAAAATCTACAAGGGGCAATCTGTATAACAAGACTGTCAACAAAGGTTTGACTAGGATGCCTTCTGACCCTATGAGCTCCAAACAAACCATCCCTCCTCCTCATCATCAACATTCCAATCACAACAACCAAGGTGGCTACTTTAATCATCAGCAGTCCTGACACCCTCAACACACAAACCAACAAAGAGTTGTTTGCCAACTATGTGATAAAGTCGATTATTTTGCAAAGGACCGTCAATCTTGACCCAGACTTCCTGCTCAATCACATTGGCCTCAAGTAAATCTCATGACTACTCCAAACACTAGTGATCATAATTGGATCGTGGACTCTAGCGCATCCCACCACATCACCTTTGATCTCTAGAACTTGTCCATCCACAACAACTATAGTGGAAATAAGGATATCATCATCGGTAACGGTAAAAGAATTCCTATTACTCATACTGGTTCCACACTATTTAATTCACCTACTACAACTTTTACCCTCGATGATGTTTTGTGTGTACCTCACATTAAACGTAATCTCATTTATGTTTTTCTCAATTTTGTAAACAAAATAATACCTCCATTGAATTATTTCCCAACTCTTTTTTGGTCAAGAATTTGAGCATGGGGGCATCCTTGGTCCAAGGTCAGAGTAAGGACAATGTTATAAATGGCCGTCAGTTCCACAAATAAACCAGCCCATGATATGCTACTCTCTACAACAACACCATGATTGATATAAAAAATGCTTATGATGTCCATGATGATTGTGCAATAAAAAATGCTTGAGACACTCCTTATGATGACGACACGATCAACACGACCCAAGTGCTCTCTACAACGTCAGCATGGCCTATATCCTTTAGGCGTCTCCAAAGCACAATGTATCCTTAGTGGACAAGAGCATTTGAAGTATTTAATGCATCCTTCGTAAACAAGAGCATCTTAATATTCAATGCATAACTCATAGACATAAACATCTCAAATGTGTGATATTCAATATAGGAAGATTGACATGTTCGAGGTAGATTAGGTGGTGACATGAACTTGAGTATTAGAGGGATCATATCGAAAACCTCGTTCAACCTCAATCTTCATATAGGTTAGTTGCAGGATGAGCATTCGAATCCACATCCATTCTAAAATGAGCGTTGAGTCTTCGAATTGGTCACATCAAATTTTTGTGCACATGGATCTAAACCAAATTTAGCTGATCTAAACATAACTTATAGCTACTCTATCGATCATCACAAATAAGTAATTTATATATTAATGATAAGGATATTTAGTCATACAATACATAGGTTAAGAAGTAAGGGAACCAAGGATTTATAAGTCCCCCTTATCATTTTTACCCTTAGAGATATCTTTTTAGATTAACTGTGCGGGGATATGTAAATAGGGCAATTTCTCATCAACCTATAGGATCACATAAATGTTGTCATATCAGTCGGATAAATTGAATGATATAGTATCACATGGGCTTTGTATGATCACAAGAATCATGACTGCTGGGTGTACAAACAAAACCATGTTGAACTGTGGACGCCATTGATGCTCTGTTTATGTTCTTGATCTTCTGCTCTTGATCTTTACTGAGGCTTGAAGAAACGTACGTCGATGCCTGTCTTCACCAGGTTCCATACGCCTGAGATCGTCAAGATGAGACTCAGGACCATGCCGGCGCTGCCCAGCACCCAGTTGATGTACCACATGGCGCTGTATCGTTCGGGTTTCTTGACGAGAATCCACATGAAGCATGGGTAAGCGAGGGTGACGGGCAATGCCATTCCCCCGATGAGGCCGGCGAGATCGGATAAGAAGGGGAAGGCCACGGCCATGAAGTAGGAGATGCCGGCGAAGAACGCTCGGAAGGCGGAGCGAAGCCAGCGCGGGCAGGGCCTGTTCTTCTTCTTGGTGTATCCCGCCTCCATGCTGTCGAAGATGGGCATGGCGTAGATCTGGAAGCAGCTGAGGCAATTGACGACGACGAGCAACGCCGTCAAGCCCAGAAGAATTCTGGAGGTGTCCTTGCCGTGGAACGCGTACAGAGCAGTCAGCATCCCGTTCGAAGGTATCTGCCACCCACACCGAACATATATCAGAAGCCTCCTCACAGTAGTCAATGAGAACATCATGTGTTTCTTCTGGATTTACCATGTTGCCGTAAGCCCAGAAACCACCGATTGCTATGGGGTACAAACAGAATGCTATTATCAGGTATGCTGCCTTCACTCCTCTCCACATCGGTACCCGGGAAGGATGCTTCAGACTTGACGGCATCGTCGCCTGAAGAAGAAGAAGATGATGATGATGATGTCGATGAAGAAGAAGAAGAGAGGAGGAGGAGGAGGAGGAGGGTGACATCACCTGGATCTCGAGAACAAGATTGTGGCCTCTGAAAGCAAAGGCAATTATTCCCAGAGCGTTTAGGATTCCCAGCACTCGGTCGACATCGGATTTGGCTTCAACCGGGTGGTAGGAGACTCCGGGTAGCCTGCCCTTGCTCACGGAGATGACCCAAATCAAGGTGCAGTAGGTGACGGCGGTGACGGAGCCGATCAGAGAAACTCCCGCTATGGAGTTGAGGTTGGGGAGCTGCGACAGGACCCCCGCGAGGCAGGTGAAGACCAGGTACCATTCTGCGGCCGTCAGTGGCTTGGAATCGCACGTTGCGCCGCAGACGATCTCGAAGAAGAGCTTCATGGCTCCCCCACCCACGATTATGATGGCAGTGCATATCCCAGCCGAGAGATAGAAGATGGGAAACAGGGCCAGCCATTTCCCCAG